AACACCAATGAATCAGGTTTGCAATATTTTGCACAATAACACCTTTGTATTCCTAAAAGCAATTTTGACTTTGCTAACTCCCTTCTCTCATCTCATTTATACCCCATAAAACTCTGATGAGATAGGGCAGATATTACTATTTTCATAAGGAAACTGAAGGAACTAGAGGATAAGTGAATTTTGGACTTCCTAAGTTCCATTGCCATGTTCTTTTTATTAGAATAAGAATTATTGGTTTTTTTCGTTTTGACAACAGGGCTTAAAAGTTGCAGTAAACTTGTAAATAAAAGGAAGTCGCTTGTATTAACTGCAGTTTAAAACCTTTTATTTTTAGTGTCCTAATGGAAAGTGGCTGGGTAATCTACCAATGAGACTAAGGACTAGATTTAGTTCTCATAGAAAGTGGATGGAGAGAAAAAGTTTCCTGAAAGGCTGATTTATTTGTGGAAATTGGAGCAGTTTCATTTGAGGGGACTGTGAGTGATATTTTAATTCTCTTTTTAAAAACTTAGACTGTGAAATCTCGAGGAATTTTTATAACTTTTAAGTGGCAAGACAACTGCTGAAAGACAGTCATAAGTTAAACATTTTAAAGGATAGTCCTGCAAGTAGTGGAAATAAAACAGTCAGTGTTATAATCCTCATTCCTCCAAAAGTGAAAGTGAATACAGGATTAAAGTCAGAAAAACCCAACCATGTCTTAAGTACACTCTTTGCTTCATAAGTTGGCTGGTCTAGAAACACGTTTCCACAGGGCGAGTCACAAATGGGAAAATCCTTTGAGAAGACACTCGAGATAAATGAATTAGACTTTTGATCATTCAAACACAGAGAGTTTCTGTTTTTGGTCGTGATTATTTTCAAACACAATAGTTAGTATATAATGTTATGTATGTATTAATAAAGTCTAAGCAGATAAATGAAGTGAATGTGATGACATTTTTATCATTCATTAATTCATTCGATAAGTTGTTTGTTGAGCACTGATTATGAGCCAGCCGTGTTCTGTTTGCAGGGATGCGGGGAGGTGGGTGAGAACAGGGAGCAATGCAGTTACAGTCCCCGCCCTTGGCCTGTGCTCATGACAGTCACATACTAATACACACACACAAAAATGTTATTGATTGAAAGCATGAAAAATACTTTCTTCTTCTTCCTTTCTTTCCATTTTTTTTAAAGAAAAATTTAAAAAATAGGAAGATTCTCATGTTTGGGAAATACTGTTATTTCTGTATATAGCAGAAGACATGATAAACAAATGCATGTCACAGGAAAAAGTTCTACCATTCCATGAAAATAAAAAGCAGTTGAAAGGAAAACAAACTTTTTATTCAATAAATATTTATTATCTCACAAGTATGTGCCAGGAACTTGGATTGGTGCTGGGAGTAGTTTGGCATCATATAGGCTTTTTGTTTATTTATGTGTTTTTTTCTTTCCCAATGAGCTAGATGGATGTCCAGTTAAACAAGGAATGACAATAAACCCTGATAACAGTTAAGAAAGGGATTTTAAAGAGTGTTGTGGGAGCATAGAGTAGGTAACCTAACCAATCTGAAGGAGACTGAAAGGCTGCCCCAGGGAAATGACTTACAAATTAAGGTCTCAGGGGACTGAAGAATTGATGGTGGAGGTGGGAGTGGACAGACAGTAGGAGTGTTCTAAGCCGAGGCAACCACATGTGCCGAGTTAGAGAGGGCCCTGCATTGACCGGGGGGTGTGGGGGCCCACGGAGATAGACCTTCACATGTGATTTTAAGAACAGACAATTTGATGGTAGCTCCAAATATGGGTGCGGCTTCTGCAAAGGCTCAGAGGATGCAAATCAAAGATGCTATGTAGGCATAAACCAAGAAGGCAGTGTTTTTCGGGGAATGGAGACTGAGGGACCAGAGAAAGTGAAGGCACCTGTCAGGTTGTCCCAAGACCGGGAAGGTGGAGCTTCCGAATCAGCAGACTGAATTGTGAATAACAGATTGGCATGATCAAACCATTCAGCTTGCCGCACAAACACCTACTTTCAAGTTGCTTGAAAGAGATAACAAATCCATTTCTACATTTGTTGGTGGGATTAACGCTCCAAAGAGCAGAACATGACCTTTGCGTAGTAACTCCACACATGATTGAAATCGTTCTTTGGTGTGTTACTCTCAAGCCTAGAGTGTACTGCAGTTGCTGGCCAGGGACAAAACCCAGCCTCATGGTTTTTACAGTTCCACAGCATTTCCAGATGACCAGTCTGGAAAGGTTTAGATTGCTTTACCATCCAAAGGCACAGAGTTGGATCAAAAGGAAAAAAAATCCTATTAAAGTGAATCAGTCAATGACGTAATTTACTACTTCAATGGCAGAAAAAAAAAGAATTTTTTGATTTTACATCTCAAACTTGGTAAATGATGAATGAGTTTCACATACTGAACCCAAAGGCCGTGAGAAGAGTGTTTCCAACATACTGGAAACAAATTATATGACAGAAGCAGGAAATGTTTTAAAAAACACATCAAAAATTATATTCCAATTACAGCATTCTCGGGATGAATGCTACAGGTCAGATTACATATTATACATTACAGATTCTTATTTACAATTCCCTTTTAGGCCCATTGAAAGTTTATAGAAATGATTTCCCTTTTAACTGAAGCATTTCTTGTACTTAATTTCAGTTGACTAATAAAATTTTTGATAAAAAAGAAAACAGCCCATCTAGTTGATTTCAATTTCCATGTGGTAAGAAAGCTAACATTTATTGAGAGTTTACTCTATGTGAGTCGGTATGGTAAATGATTTGCTTTAATATAAGATCTTTTCAAAGAAAAAAAGTTGCTTTACTACTGGAAAATTGAAACTTAAAAATGTGTCATTAAAGAAACAATTATTGGCCTACATTCCAAAAATGAAGCTTTAAAAATACATCTTCTAAAGCATAAAATTCTCTACAGGAATCCACATAGGTGTAGTTCAGACTTGGCATAAGCTTTTTTCACTTGAAAAAAATGCCCTCTGTTTAGAAGATTTCCTTTCTTTAAGCAGAGACTGGCAGCTAAGGCCCGTGGGCCAACTCCAGCTAGCACTTGCTTTTGTGTGGCCCATGTGCTAGGAATGGTTTTTACATTTTTACATGGCTAAAAAAAAAAAAAAAATCAAAGAACAATAATATTTCATGACATGTGAAAATTTCATGAAATTAAAATTTCAGTGCCCAGAAATCAAGTTTTATTGGAACATAGTCATACTCATTTCTGGACATACTGTTTATGGTTGCTGTCACACTGTAAGAACAGAGTTGAGTAGTGGTGACAGAGACCACAAGGCCCAGAAAACCTAAGATATTTATTTTCTGGCCCTTAATAGGAAGTTTGCTGACCTCTGGTTTTAAGTATAAACAAGAAAGTTAAATATAACATCCAAGTTTATATATCTGGGGTTTGAAATTCTGACTTCGAGAGTGATCGAAGTACACCATTGGTCTTATTAAGTATTAAGCATATGTATGTCATATTTGATTGCAGCATGATAATTAAATTTGACAGGTATATAAAATGGGTCTACAACAATGGTTTCAACTAGAAGTGATTTTGTGCCCCAGGGGCCATTTGGCAATGTCTAGAGAAGGTTTGGTTGTCACAACTATTGGAATCTAGCGGCCGCAGGCCAGGAGTGATGTTAAACATCGAACAGCCCCCACAACAAAGAATTATCTGGCCCAATATGTCAATAATGATGAGGGTGGGAAACCCCAGTCTACAAGAGACTGAGGGTCCACTCTAATTTCTGGACTGCTCTTTGAATACAAACATAACTGCGACTTGGTGATATTAATTCATTCCTACCATCCATGCCATATTTATATTAATATTTATAAGAATGAGAAAGATAAATTTCTCTTTATTTTATGGGGATGCTTTTATGACTAACATTATCCATCTGTACTGTAATAATTTTCAAAGTGAAATATTTTTATCCTCAACTCTAAGCTTAAATGAATAAATCTTTTATCGATAACTCAATTACTTAGCTTGATTTTCATGAAAATCTGACTATTCTATTTTCAGTTTCTTAAAAGATCTTTTTCTTAGTCCTTTACAGCACAAGTGAAGTGAAATACCCTTCTTATGTCAGAGATATCTGTGAAGTATGAAGCCAAAGCAGAAGCTATAATGATAGACGGGGAGGGGGGTGATGAGAAGAGGTAGAAAGATGAGCCACAAGACCACTGTAATATAGATGCTAATAATGATTTAAAAGATTAAAAAAAAGAAAATACAACACAAAGCCTGGCAAAATATCTGGATTTAGTAGATTTCAGGTCAAGGCAAATTTTCAAGATTGCATTAGAGGCTCTAATCAAATGACATTTACTTTCAAACTTTTAAATCTCATCCCAATCCTTGTTCTCTCCCCAAATCGGAACAAATGGAATCACTTCAGAAACTTTATTTTTATATCTCTGAGTATCAAGGGAGTGCCCCACTTACACATGAATAAATGGTTTTCTTCCTTGAAGGCCAAACCTAGCTACACATTTTCTAGAATTTGTGACATACCATTTTACTTTTAAAATACTAAAATACTTAAATTTGGGGGCGCCTGGGTGGCTCAGTCATTAAGCATCTGCCTTCGGCTCAGGTCATGATCTCAGGGTCCGGGATCGAGCCCCACATTGGGCTCCCTGCTCTGCCGGAAGCCTGCTTCTCCCTCTCCCACTCTCCCTGCTTGTGTTCCCTCTCTCGCTATGTCTCTATCTGTCAAATAAATAAAAAAAATATATTTTTAAAAAATTAAAAAAATAAAATATTTAAATTTGTAGCTAGGAGTTTGTGGAACGATCACCTTCATAAGTTAGATATTCAAATGTTCTCTAAAATTGTAGAATTATTTCCCATCTTATCACACTAAGTTACTACCACTCATTTACCTGTCTCAAAATCTTCTGTGTTCACATACATGAAATAATATTTCTTGCTCATACACATACTCTTTCATATTTTACAACACTGTACCTTTTCGCCTGTGTCACCTTTGGGGCCATTCTCTCCAGCTTCTCCCTAAACGGGGCGGCGGGGCGAGAGATAGAGTAAAATATATCGGTGACATTACACACAGTAGCCTTCATTATTTTGAGTTTGCTTTCATGTGCACTATATATTAAAATCTGTTGCAAATGTTCTACAGAGCTAATGTATTTTTACTTGAACAGCTGCCTGATATCAAGTGGTCCAAATAAAATTTATTACAATGAACATAGCTGAACAGTTTTAAACTATTCTATGATAGCAACAGAAAGCAGTACTTTCTCTGACTTCTACTAGCTCATTCTGGCACGTAAAGCCTCCTTAGCGATATGCCTTTTCTCCTCAAGAAAGCCTTTTTCCTGACCATTCCCTCAATATGCCACAAGACTTAGCACCAGCGTGTCCTTCCTTCCTGCCATTCCTGCCACCTGAGCTCCTGCCCCCCCGCCCCTTCTCTCTGTGTAAATCCTACTCTGTCTTCAAGTTCAGCTCAAATCAAATCTCCAGGGCTTCAAAGTGCATGACACAGCCCTCAAAACTGTGGGCGGAAGATTAATTTGTCTGCACCTATGTGTTTTGCATTTGTGAAATGAACTTTATATTTTATTTGAACACTCTCTTTTTTAATTATAGTAACAGAAATTGGAGAGTTTATGCTTTCTGGGTTATTTTTGAGATTTCCTGTGCTTATTCCCTCACATCTCTTTTCTACCACAAAGCAATGCATTAGGAAAAAAAAGTCATTCACTCATTATCCATGCTTTGATTCCTTCAAAGCTGAATTCTTTCATTTAAGTCTTACAGCATGTTATAGTGGAAACATCATGGACTTTGGCGCCAGAGAGACTGAGCCCAGCTCCAGCACCTACTGGGCAAATGAAATGCTCCCTACATCACGTTTCACATGTGTAACAGAAGGGCAAGAATGCTTTACGGGGTTATAAGAAATAAACAATATGCTGTGCGTAAAGCAACTAGGCCAGTATCTGATGCAGCATAAGCTGATAGCCATTAGCGGTAACAATGCATTATTGTTCATAGATTCCATAAGCTGGAACACCCTTCTGTTTAGCTTCATAAGAGGTCACTTTTGCATCATTTAAAAATTTCCTTTAAATAAGAGATAAAGTACTGATGATGGTTTCCCTGGAAGAGGGAAGAGATGTGGGGGAGAGAGACTTATTTTTTCTCTCCATTTTCTTTTCGTGTTTCACATATGTATGAAGCTAACCTGCTCAGGTGTTTGTCTATGGTGACCGACACACCACAGAGCCCGGGAGCTGGAGCAGCTCTATCTGATGAATCCCTGGGATGGTGCTGGCACTGATCCTTTCCCCTCCTTAATTTCTACACAAAAGAGTGATCTGATGACTAATTAATTTCAGGTTAATTACAAGGAACTGGTTGGACACCAAATAAATATACTGATAATCTCTTATGAGGAACCTTTGACAGGCAGCCTATTAGCATACTTTCCAAAAGTTTGCTTGGAAATCCCTTTATTAAAAAACAAAACAGACACAACAAACTTTCTTATTAGGAAGACTGGCTCAGAGTGGTCACGAAATGAAGGGTTTGACTGAGCCGTCCCCTCTGCTTTGCTCTCCCTCCATTTAAATAAATGCCTTTTTAATTTTTGCCTCACAGTGCCGAAAAATACAGTTACATTCAAGAAGCGTGCGGGGTCTTTAGATGTACTTCTTTTAGGATTAGAGGTGATGATATTAATTTATCAGAACGATCACATCACTTCTGAAGAGCATGGTGTAATGTGTTGGTAGCTTCCTACGCAGGCAGCACGTTTCTCAAGCATTATTAAAGTAAATAGCATGAGAACCAGAAAAATTAGCACCACGGTATGCACTGAGAGTCTAAAAATAATCAGAACGCCCCAAAAGTAGTCAGGAAGGACATCTGTGAGAAATTTAACATATGGCACTCTCCTCCTCCTTTTGTTTCTCTTTTTGCTTTTTTATAGGAATTCTTTGTGGGGCAATTTCCAATGTATTTGTTGCAGGTAAACATCTGTATTCCTTTAACTTCATGACCTAAGAAGCAGTAGGGAGAGATATGGATGCTTAGAAAAGCACTGGGGTGGCAATAGCAAGTAGGTAAAAACAGAAGTTTTGCAGACCTAGGGATTTTTGAAAACCACTTAGAAGCTTGACATAGAATGTTCAAATATCTTCCTTTCCCTCCATTTCTTTAAACCTTTTTACCCAAACCTCTGTCCATACATAAGAATTACACTATTCTCTCCTACTAATTAAGAGTTTGACATGAACAGTGGTTGTTATATCTATCTATATCTATGGATCTATATCTATTGCTATGTAGTCATCCATACCTCTATATATTTTGGTTTGATACCTCTTTAGGGAAAAAAAAAAGATAATTACAGGCAGAATCATTCCTACCTTTTCGCCTTGATCTCCAGGTTCTCCCTGAGCAAAAGAACAAAGATGGAGTGACACATTAAATTATAAAACACCCAATTAAACACCACCTACCAAAATCAGATATTGAACATACTAAGTCAATTATATGTGACACTTTCTATTTTGGCAACATAGAATTGCTATATTGAAAACAAATGGTAAGATGAGTTTCCTGAAGAATTGGGCATGGATATCAATATCAAATGTAATCTTAGTTCTTTGCTTTTAAAGGACTAAAGAAAGGTATTTAAAATTATCATCCAGAATCCAGCTTTTGGGGCATTAAGAACAATGTGGTACCAATTCAATGTCTTCAGCAGCTTCTTAGTTTTCAAGTTTTTATTTCCTCCAAACTCAGAAGCAGTAAGGTGGGCTAGCACATTCTTTCATGGTCTTTTACTCAAAGCAGCCCTCAGTGTATAGATTATTTCAGGGGTCTGGAGTCTGTGTAGTTCTCCCATCTGTCTTCTTCAAACATGATCATAAACATGGTCCTGAACTTGGAGTCCTTCAGAGTGTCATGAATTCTCCCTAACCTGCTGGTAACCAGCATGTTCCAAATCAGGTATATTTTAGGCAGCAGTGGTACCTTCAGGAAAGAGACTAGAATGGGGCAGAGTCAAAGCAAGTTTAGGAGAGTGTCTTTATTCAAAATGATGACCTGGACCATATGAGGACTAAAATGCCAAACTGTGCTTTGAAAAGAATCCTTATTTTCACTTTACCCAGGAAGGCATAGGTGATGGAGTGGGAGAATTCTAAAGTGAATCATATACATTATGATAATATTCTTCTTATGAAAAGCATCAGTAAGTGTTGCCATGAGATCAGGCTGCTTAAAAAAAATTGGCTTAAGATGATTATTGTGTTTTTTAATTTAAAAACCCCTCGAAGTCAGTTTGGAGGCAAGACTCTTTTCATTTGCTGGGACTCAGTCTGACCCTTTGGCTTTCTGAATTTCTGGCCACCTTTCAGTGCTCAACATCCATCCTGATGGTTGCTAGGCAACAGAAGAATAGACCTGAGAACATGCATTAAGCATTAACTCTTATCATTTGGCTGTTTAGCATGGAGCAAGAGAGGGGAAAAGACAGGAGAATGGCTGTAGTCCCAGAAGGAATATTTCCTTTCCTCTCCTGCAGGACAAAGGGCAGGTCTATAAATTTTAGGTCTGTCCTAGGCGCCTGTCAATAGCAATGTGATCTGTAAAATCAGCTGACAGGCATCTGTGGGTACAGATACACACCCGCACAGCTGACGGGATTAGACATTAGTTATGTACTTCAAGGGATGTTCACTCATCAAAGGATTTGGGATTTGTCTGCCTGTTTGGTTTAAACTAAACTGTCACCAATCTTTTTATATTTAACAGATTCATTTGTTCTTTAAAAAAACAAAGAAAATTTGCAACCCCCAAAAAATCCTCGTTATATGTTTTCCCTATTTAGTAATTCAGACTATATCCATTTTTAAATTTTAGACATGCCACATCAGCCAGTAGAGCGTACCACTCTTCATCTAGCAGTTGTGAATTGGGTGTAGAGATTACTTTAAAAAAGTAAACATCTTAAAAAAACAAAGCAAAACATGCCACATCTTTATTCTGCTCTTCATTTGATTAACTGCTTATATGTGTAAGTGTTGGAGGTGACCAAATATTGAAGAAAGGCCACAGTGGCACTGTGAAAATCATCTTTAGTAAGTCTTATAAATATTATGCACATTTGAGGCAGTATGGACAAGGCCTACATTTTAATACACTCATTAAGTGGCAAAATGACAAGAGTCATATTTGAAATATGGGCTTTTTCTCACGTTATTGAAGTATCCCAGAATAAAAATTTTGACAACTGTTATCTTATTTGTTTTTCTGCATTTTTAATGCTAATGAGGATCTTAAACAATTTAGTCATTAGTCACAAACTTCTATACTGCAGCAGATTATACTACTGACAAATATTCCATCCAAGTAAAACCAGCGGGATATAAAAAATTGTTACAGCTTACAATTTCATGAAAACTCATATCTCAAATGATTCTGCTTGGTTTCATTTGTACTAACCTTTGGCCCTGGTATTCCGTTTTGTCCTACTGTTCCAGGCAACCCGGGCTCACCCTCATGAAAAAAATAGATACTATTAAATAAAATACACAAAATCCATACATTATATAGATTATTAGAGGATATAGCTATCCAATAATGCTCTAGAAGTAGAAAAATAAGTGCCTACTAGGGTAAATACAAACTAGCTCATTTGGTCCAAAATTCTATGTGCTGGGGGCCAAGGATAAAACAGGGTTAATTTTCTTTGTTCAGTCTTTTCTCCATTAAGAAAGCTGAAGCAACTTACCGACGGAAATGAGTATCTAGCATGGTGCTGGGTACCTTGTAGGCAATAAATAAATGTTTGTGGAATGAATTAAAGACATCTGAAAACATAAGCTCTCTTGATGGAGAACTTTTAAGTGGTTCATCAGCTCAGGAAAATAAAGACTAAATCATTATATTTATGAGACTTAATCAAATGAGCGTTTCCAAACCTAAAGCTTAAAGAACACACACACCTTTGAACACCAACAAAATTAGACACATTTGACACAAAAGTCAAAAGTAAAAATGCCTTTGGTTTCTCTTCTCAACTTCGCTGTAAAAAATAATTAGAATAAGACATTCAGAACCGTGGCTCTCATTGTCCTATTGAGTGATAGGCATTCAGGAGAAAGATGATGGTTACTAGGTCAGACAAGTTTCCCACCTCAGCAAGAAGAGATTGTATAATAGTTTTTCTAGGCTCTGAACCAGCAATTGTTTTCCATAGAGGAGAAGTCATGAAGTGCCCAGCAGCAAAGGTAAGATAGGTAAGCTCTTGTTACTTCCGTGTGGCTCAAAGTCATATCAACTAGAATTTCATTTTCATTTAAAAACATTCCCAAAGCCCTTTAGAGTGTGCACCAATGATGGGACAGCTTTCTTCTTTCCAATGAGGGAGTAAAGTTGCTCCTTAGTTGATTAAAAAAAAAACAGGCTTTATTTTTAGGGCAGTTTTAGGTTCACAGCAAATTTAGTTGATTTTGAAGCATGTTTTCTAAGTCACCTACAGGGCAGAGATTGTGCCATTTCAATATTTGTGCTCTCAGCTTCGAAAACATGTACATTAATAATAATAGTACCATTTTTAAGTGCCAGGAACTTCACATTCATCAATTCACTTAATTCTCACAAATTTCTATGAGGTAAGTACCACTTTATCTCTAGTTAAGAGATGGAGAAATTAAGCACAGAGAGGTTAAGCAACTTTTCTAGTTTTACACAACTCTAGCCAAGATTTGAACTCTCATGATCTAGCTTAAGAGATTGTGCTTGTAACAATATGATGCATTCCAAAATGAATGAAAGCATCTAAAAATTGGGAGAGCATACATAGGAGTATTTCTATCTTCATTATCATTTGGCTTAGAGTCCTCATTTATAAATGACCCTTCAAGAATGTATGGAAACCTGAACTAAATATAACTTATATAAAGATGATTTATATTTACCTCCCAGATAAACCAAGAATACGAAGCTTACATTATCCTTCTAGAAGAGCAAAAAATATTTTACTACTATACTGGACTATTATAATTGCTAAAGTCTTAACTTCCTGGAAGAAATTCTGCTTTATATATAAAGTTACACTATAATTGTAACTCTTGCACTTTCCTTGGATAAATGGCAAAAATGCTGACAGAAAAGCAATGGCTATTATAGGAAAATTTTGATTGGCCATTTGTACATCACAAAGAGTAAGAACTCAGAAATAGAATATGCCTGGAAAGAGGACTATCATTTACTCTGCAACAGAAGAAGAGCTATCAAGTCGGCTTTCTTCAAAGAATCCACAACAGGATGCACTAATATCATAACTCATGGTTTAATGCAAATAAGAGATGCTGCCAGGAAACAATACAAACTTTGTTTAGACTTTCAAAGAATAACCATGGTAGCCAGAATAATAATAAAAAAAATGGTTAAGCCCCTGGAGCTGAACAAAGTACATGCTGAGATTTTGAAGCAAGGAAGAGAGACATTGCTTAGGTATCTGGTTAACATCCTCCTTAATATATGAATACCGAGGGACTAAAACTTGATCCTGTTTTAAAATTTTTATATACTGTTAAAATAATCTTTTAACATAATAGGAAACAAAAAATGCACCTATGATTCCACCCCTATAATAATTGTTTTCAGTTTGTCCTGTTTCCTTCTAGTCTTTTTTATTTATGCTTACATATTTTCAAGCAATTGTAAGCTTATTACATAGTATGACATTCTGATTTTTTATTATTTGATACTACAAATTTGTTTTCACATAGTATTCATGATTGTCTTGTGAATAGTTTGATTAACATCTATCAAACTCAGGCGTGATCATATGTTTAATCTGTCCCAAACAGTTGAATACTTGGTTGTTGCCAATCTTTGCTATTAAAGATAAACTAAAACACCCACCTCTGTAAATATTTCTAAATTGCTTTCCAAAAGGATTCAAGTTTTATCTGTTCTGATGGACCCCCACTCTGTGTTACTTTTTTACAACTTCATCAGCATTGGATATCACAATTTTAATTATTTGGGGGGCAATTTTAATAAGCACAAATGAGAGTTTACTCTTGCTCAGTTCTACATTTATTACTTGCGAGGTTAAATATTTTTTCGTGTGTTTATAATTTCAATAGGTATCTCACAAAATTTTAAAGCTATTTAAATAAATAAAGCTATTTCCTGAATGAACCAAGGGAAAATAGAAAGAAGGAAAAGTGAGAAAGTGACTCACAGCATTTTACCTTTCTAATAAGTTATATCAAGAAGAATATATTCAAACTTAGATTAGGAGGTTCCTATAACCCTGAGCGCCAAGTCCAAGCTATGGGATTCTGGAAGGCATTAATTCATTCAACTAACATTTAGTGAGAATTTTCTACCTGTTCTACTCTGGCCTGAGTGTTTCATGGGATAAAGACGAAATAGGCATGATAGGAACCTGTGCCCAAAGAGCTGATTTTGAACCAGAAAAAAACGATACATACAAAAATAACTTAAGAGGACATCTAATTGAGGTCATAGAACTTTTTTTTTGAGCAAAGTTTTCTTGCACTTCATGAAATAAAAAGACATAAATCAAAAGGAAGTATTGAAGAAGAATGAACCATATGTCGTGTAGTGTATTAATATTTTCTGGTGTGTGAGCATAAAGTATTATGAGTCCCCTTCAAATAAAGTTACAATGACATCACTACATAATGTAGTAAAAATATACATATGCAAGAAAGTCAGAAAAGTACAGACAAAAAATGACAATTAGGTTTCCTGGGTGTAGAGAGTAGGTCTCCTATTTGTTAAGAGAATCTGTCCATCTATTTCTGAATGCATTTCACAAGTACTGAAGGATATTCCAAAGATAGTAATAATGAAAAACAGCAGCTAACATCTTAACTACAGGTAGATTGATAAGGTTTTCTCTCTTATACTTTAAATTCTAAAGCATTCCCTGTGTATTACTCACAAATGATGATGTGTGTATTTAAGCTAAAAATAAGTTGGACTTTTTAGGAAAGCCTGCTTGCTATTTTCTTTTCTTTCTTCCTTCCTTCCCTTCTCTCTCTCTCTCTCCCTCAAACCAAATGCTCTTTAGAACTCTAACGTAAGACATCACTCAAGACTCAATTATTTCAGGTACTGCTAATCAGGGACAACTTGAAAGAACACTGAATGATTGGAAGGAATGGAGTTGTCTTATGAGGATTGAGTGCTAAAGGGAAATAGGTCATTTAGAGGTAATATCACTCGCCTGAGGGCAATTGTTTTCTCTTCTGGCAATGGGAATTTACAATGAGTTGTAGCTTAAAATTTTTAGCATGATATAATTTTACATTCACTTGTCAAAACCGATTTTGCTGCTTTTAAATACTGCATTTTCAAAGAGAACTCATTTAAACAGAAGAGGAGAATAACTACAAGGAACATGGACCAGCTGTGGATGGAAAGAGTGATACTGAGAAGAACATGGCTTTGGTCTTTTTTTATTTTTTCCCGGAATTTTCAACTCTTCCTTGAGGTTTATTTGTCTTTATTAATTTTTTAATTTGAGTATAGTTGACACACATTGTCACGTTAGTTCCAGATGGACAGCATAGTGATTCAACTTCTTACCAGGAGCATAGCCACTATCTGTCACCATACAACATTATCATAACATCACTGACTAGATTCTCTGCCCTGTGAACATGGCATCAGTCTTTAAGGTTTTCTCCTGCCTCTGGAGCTCGGGGTGTTGGTGGTCACTGACACCTATCTGAAACACCAAGTGTGCTTTTTTCATGACAGTGACAGTGCACGGAGGGATCTCAGTGGTTTGAGGGGTGAGCAGGACTGGTTTTTAGTCCCCTTCTGCAGGCAGCCATGGTGAGGAGTGGGTGTGCTTTTATAGGGCTTTGGGGCTTCAGTGGCTTTGGCAGCAATTGGGTAAGTAACCCTTGGTAGAGGAAGATTCTTTGAAAACAGTGAGGCACCCAACAGGGACTTCTAGATACAACTGTTTGCGGAAGTGTCAAGAAAATGGGGTTTCTGCTCCCCATTCCTAGTTATTCTCTCTAGTTTTCCTTAATTTAGTTTTCTACCCTGGTTTCCTAATGGCAAATGAATATGAACACAAAATTGGGTGAATGTAGGAGGTACAAAATGATGTACATATTTTGAAATTTATAGAAATGTAGCATTTCACGACACAATAAAATAAAATAAAAATCCTAGCCCCAACCTGTAAGTGTTATTAATGTTTTGGAAAAATCATTTGTCTTTTTGCACACCTCTCACATCCCTCAGGCTTGTCTCAAATGTCCCCTTACTACAGAGGTTGCCTGGATACCCCACCACGACTTCCTATGCCTACTATCTTATTTAATTTTCTCTATTGCACTAATTAACACATAAGGTATACTTTTTTTGTTTCAAATCTGTCTCCCCTACTAGGAATGCCAGATTTGAGAAACAAAAATATAGGACATCGACTGAAATTTTAATTTCAGATAAGCAACACAATTTTTCAGTTACATATATCCCAAATATTGAATGGG